GGAGAGCCCATGTGTTACAGAGTAGAACTATTCCATAGCGTTTCCTTATGGAAGGTGCATCACCAGGCCTTTCTTCTGTGCACTTGTGGGTTGTGGGTGGGTTTGAACAGCTAACTTTTGTTTTTTCCCTTTATTTTTTTATTGTGATTTGGGTCAAAGTTTAAAGAGCAAATTCACTTTCCATATAGCAGTTCATACACATTTTGTCTCATGACATTGATTGCAATGCCCCACAATGTAAAAGTTCTCTTCCCACTTCCTCCCTGTAGTTACCTCTTCCCTGTGTCCTTCCTTCCTATGCACTCCTGCCTTGGCAGGTTGTAAATCTTTACAGAAGAAGAATGCCTCATCTTTCTCCCATGGAGCAGCTGGTGGGTTTGAACCACCAACGTTTTAGTTGGCAGCCAAATGTCTTAACCACTGTGCCACCAGAGCTCCTTCCAAACCACCCAGACCATGAGGATTCTGAGAGCAGAGACAAAAGTCAGATTGATCTTCTCCACACATTTTTTCCCTCTGCTTGGACACTCTGCTTCCTCCCTGACACTAATCTTCACTTGGTTCATTTCTACTCATCCTTCTAACCTCAGCTCAAATGTCACTCCCTTTGGGAAGCTGTCCCTACCTCTTCAGCTAGACCTAGCTTTCTCCTATGTAAGTGCCACCCTTCTAATCTCTCATGGTTGACTCTTTCGAGGAGTCCGTCTCCTTGTTGTAGTTGTTCAGTTCATAGGCCCGTCTACTGTTTGGATGAGAGTCAAGCTCAGGAAGTGAGTCCAATTCCAGGCTGGTAGGGTGAACTCAGGGCCATAGTCTCAGCGGTTTCACCAGTCTCTTTTGGACTAGTAATCCTGTTTGTTTGTGGGTTTTTTTTTTTTTTTTTTAAATTTTGTTCCACATTTTTTCTCCCATTCTATGCAGGATCTCCAATTAAAAAAAAAAAAAAAAATCTTTATTTTATTGTGATTTGGGTCAAAATTTACAGAGAAAATTCACTTTCCATACAGCAGTTCACATACACTGTCTCATGACATTGACCACAATTTCCCACAATGCAACAGCTCCCCTCCCACTTCCTCCCAACAGTTTCCAGTTTCCTCTTCCCCGTGTCCATCCCTCCATGCACTCCTGCCCCCTGATCTTTCTCCCTGTGCACAAACAGCCCTTCTTTCTCCCATGATTGTTCTTTCTAAGGAGTGTATCTACCTCAGGTAAATGTTCAACTCATATGCCTGTCTTTTGTTTGGCTGGAAGACACAGGTGTGGGTTCAATTCCAGAACTGAAGGGCAGCTAGGGGTCACAGTCTCAGTGGTTCCACCAGGCTCTACCAGACTAGCAAACTTGGTCTCCCCCCCTTTTTTTTTCTCCAAATGATTTTGAGTTTTGTTCCACATTGTTCTTCCTCTCTCTCCAGGATCTCCTACATAGATCCCCTTCCAAGTGGTTGACAGTGGTAACTGGGCACCATCTAGTTCTTCTGGTCATATAGGCTGAGGATCGCATGGTGTATCAGTTGCTGGGACTAATTGTCTCCATGAATTTTTGTTTTTCTTCATTCTTCTTTGCTCTGGATGAGGAGAGACACATCGTTGCATCTAGATGGCAGCTTGCAAGCTTTTAAGATCAGTCACTACTCGCCAAAGTAGGAGGTGGAACAATGTTTTGTGTAATATGTTATGCCAATTGAGCTTGATGTCCCCTGCAACTATGGTCCCAAGCCCACAGGTTCAACTATTCGGTCCCTCTGGGTAGCTGGCTGTGACCAAGAAGTGACTACAACCTTGCCCCTTGTCAGCTCTAGTATACACCTGGGAATTTGGATCATAAAAATACACTTATAGGACCATTGTCTGCCAATCCTATACATGGTCTTGGGTACACTCCCTGCTTCATAGACATACCTACTAGTTCAGCCTGCAGGATCTCCAATTTTGATCCCTTCTGAGTGGCTGGCATTGGTAGCTGGGCACCATCTAGTTCTTCTGGTCTCAGGGCTGTGTAGGCTGAGGTTCACATGGGCCATTAGTCCTTTGTGCTAATTGTTTCCATTTGTGTTTGATTTTATCCATTCTTCTTTGCTATGGATGAGGAGAGACTGATATTTGCATCTTAAATGGGCACTCACGTGCTTCTAAGACCCCAGTTGCTACTCACCAAAGTAAGATGTAGAACAATGTTTTTGTGTACTATGTTGGGCCGGTTGAGCTTGATGTCCACCATGACCATGGTCCTGAGCCTGCAAGCCCAGTGACTCACTTCTTGAAGGTGCTTGATTGTGGATAAGAACATCTTGACTGCCACTTCAGGAGACACCCAAGCTTGAACCACCCTGCTAAGGTCCTCAGAAACTTTGTGAGATAATGATTTACTATTGTTTCAAGCTGCTAATTTTGGGAGTAATTTGTTACTCAACAGATAACTAATCCTCATTCAAAGTCCCCTGTGTTTTTTCTTCATGGATTGACGATGCTAATTATTTTGTGTGATGTCATCTAAGTCAGTTTCTCATGCTAGATTGTGAATAAGAGCCCCAGTGGCTCAATGAGTAAGTGCTTGGCTTTAGCAGGAAGGTTGGCGGTTCAAACTTACCCAGTGGCTCTGCAGGAGAAAGGCATGATGCTGTGCTCCCGTGAAGATTACAGCCAAGAAAACCCTATGGACATGTTCTACTCTGTCACCTGGGGTCACTATGAGTCAACATACACTCAACAGTGCCCAATAACAACAGCCCACCAATGCTGTCAGGGTGGGGACAGGCTTCATTTCTCCATACCTGTTCGTTCATTCATTCATTCAGCAAATGTTTATTGAAGACCAGATCTGTGCCAGGCACGAAGCTGAGCATTGGCAATAATGGCTGGGACCAAGGTGAGAGAACGCAGGCCACACAGTTTAAGGAGACACTTACTCTCAGGCTTGTGCAAGGGCTGGGTCAGCACCTAAGCATGGGTGGCTGTTTGCATTTTGCACCCTGGTTGCCTTGTATGCTTATGACTTTTAACCTCTGCCTGCCCTTGTAACATTCAACAGCAATGTGCTACTTATGCTGATATCATACTTTGAATTTCTCTATGCTGTTATTTCTAAGGCAAGTCTACACTTATTACCAAGGAGGCCTGGTGGCAAAATGGTTAAGTGATTGGCTGTTAACCAAAAGGTTAGTGGTTCGAACCCATCAGCCACTCCATAGGGAAAAAGATGTGGAAATCCACTCCTGTAACATCTGAGGAAACCCTATATTGACTTGATCGCACACAACAGTAAACAGATGCTCATTACCAAGGAACTTAGGTGGGGCAAGTGGTCTGCAATTGGCTGCTGGTTTGTATGAATGACTGCCTCTTGGTCTATGTATAGCACAATTAAGTGCTTGGGAATTCCCATTCTTCCCAATGTTATCTATAATTTGTTATGATCCACACAGTCAAATGCCTTTGCATAGTCAATAAAACACAGGTAAGCATCTTTCAGTTAATTCTCTGCTTTCAGATCCATCTGACATTAGCAATGATACCCCTCGTTCCTTGTCCTCTTCTGAAACCAGCTTGAATTTCTGTTGAAGTACTACTGCAATCACTTTTGAATTATCTTCAGCAAAATTTTACTTGCGTGTGATATTAACGATACTGTTTGGTAATTTCCACATTCTGTCAGATCACCTATGTGAATGAGAACACATACGGATCTCTTCCAGCTGGTAGGTCAGGTAGTGGTCTTCCAAATTTCTTGCATAAACAACTGAGCGCCTCCAATGCTGCATCTGTTTGTGGAAATATCTCAGTGCGGATTCTGTCAATTCCTAAGCCTTATGTTTTGCCAATTTTCTTCAGTGCAGCCTGGACTTCTTCCTTCAACACCGTCAGTTCTTTCTTTCTTTTTTTTTTTTTAATTTTGATTTGAGTGAAAATTTACAGAGTAAATTCACTTTCTATACAGCAGCTCACATACACTTTGTCTCATGACATTGACCACAATTCACCACAATGCAACAGCTCCCCTCCCACTTCCTCCCCATTGGTACCTCTTCCCAGTGTCCATCCCTCCATGCACCCGTGCCCCCTGAGCTGTCTCCCTGTGCATAAGCAGCCCTTCTTTCTCCCATGATTGTTCTCTCCAAGGAGTGTATTTACCTCAGGTACATGTTCCGCTCCTAAGCCTGTCTTTTGCTTGGCTGGAAGCCACAACACCATCAGTTCTTGATAATATGCCACCTCCTGAAATGGTTGAACATGGACCGACTCTTGTTCATGACTCCATGTGATAGATGGCGTTGGTCGTATTTACCAAGGAATAACTATGCGAGCTCTGGGGGCATAGTGCCTAAGGCACTTGACTGCTAACCAGAAGGCTGGCGGTTCAAACCCACCAGCCACTCCTCAGAAGGAAGGTTGGGCAATCTACTTTCGTAGTGATACCGCCTCGGAAACCCAAGGAGGGGTCGCTATGAGTGGAACCCGACTCTAGGGAAGTGTTTTTTTTTTTTTTTTTTTGTTGTTGTTGTTAACTACTATGATAACTTCCTTCTTTTACAGATGAAATTGAGACTTAAGAGGCGGAAACCCTGGCCCAAAAGTCAGCTAGAAGAGCAAGGCAGGATTTGCACACAGTTCCATTCCCAAATCTCTCTTCTTATACCACTATCCGTCTCTCACACGGAAACCTTCCACATAATTAAACCAAAGCACTGGGTGAGCGTGAAAAGACAGCTAGTTACACTTCTAGCTCCCTAGCGTAGTTTCTTACTTGAAGCTATTACTCCCAGCATGTTCTTCTCTTCTGCGAGGTGGTGCTGTGAGGCTACTGTACTACACTCCCAGAAAGCAAGGCCCAATTTGTTGGCAGTCAAGCACATCGGGAATTGTAGTTTCCTGAAGAATGTTCATCCATAACTCCCAGCATGCATTTGGAGTCTGAATCATGTGGTAGGAGAGGGGCGGTCGCTCAGCATGCCGGGAAGACGGCTCGGCTGTTTTCGCCAGCTGCCGCCCGGACCAACAAACCCATTCGTAGGACTACAACTCCCAACGGTCTGTGCGTGAGAGGGCAGGCCGGTCCCCTCGCCGGAAGTCCGCCCTAGCTCTGAGCCCCGCGACTGCAGTCAGAGCCAGAGCCGCCCAGTCGGCGCGGGACGTGGGCCTCTGGGGTCCGGACGGGGGTCGCCATGGTAACGGGGGCGCGCCCACGCCAGGGATGGGCAGAGGGAGGCCTGCTTGCGGACACCTAATCTCTGTCAGACGATGACAACCCCCCCTGCCGCGGTGATGGTCTGGGCCGAGCGCGGGCTCTCTGGGTCGGGGACGTTCAAGGACCTGGAAGGGAGGGACAAACAGGGCCTTGACTTCGCGTTCGGGGGTAGCCAGGGGTCGCGACGTCAGGGGACATTGGAGATGGGAAAGGAGTGTCACAGGGAGAAGGCTGGGCGGGTGGAGTTCATTGGAGGTGGTTGGGGTTCTTGGAAAAGGGGAGGCGAAGATTCGCAGGGCAGGGTCTCAGGGGTAGGGCGAGGGCGTTGGAGAGGTGGAGAGGAGGCTTGCAAAAGGTAGATGCGGTTTAGGGTGAGTGGGAGCGTTGCAGGTGATCGGGGGACTTTGGAAATGGGGAGGGGGGATCTTCCTGATGGGAGGGACCTTCCGAGGCAGAAGGCTGGCATTGCTGGCCAACGAGGTGTTGAAGCTAGGGCGGGGTGCTGTTGAGGAGAGGGACCCCATCTCAAGGGAAAGGGATTGGGCAGTGACGATCTGAAGGAGCAGGGACTGAACGGGGCTTCCCGCTCCGAGAACGTGGGCTGCGAAGTGGGAGAGGGCTTGGATGTAGGGACTGTGTCCCGGAAATAAGTGGAGAGCATTAGGCAGGTCTTTCCTAGAGCAGAGGGTTCTGGGGATAGGGAGGCCTCAGGTGAGCAGAAGGTGCAGGAGATGGGGGCTCTTGGGGGCTGGGTCTGGGCTCTGGATTTGGGGAGGGGACAGCACCCCTCCCACTTGGATGGGGCTTTGGGACGGAAGAAAGACTTCTTGGAGCAGGGAGTTGAGAAAAGAGATGAGTGGAGACGGGTGAGAACAACAGGGTTCTAGGAGGGAAGATGAGGCTTTTGGAACATGGAGGAGGCCTTGGAGGCAGAGATGTCTTAGAGAAGGGCCCATTGAGGCCTGAGGGAAGGGACTGGAACCAAGACCCCAAAAAACCAAACCCACTCCCATCGAGTCAATTCTGACTCATAGCGACCCCGTTGGATTTCCAAGGTGGTAAATCTTTACGGAAGTAGATTGCCCAGTCTTCCTTCTGTGGAATGGCTGGTGGGTTAGAACTGCCAACCTTCTGGTTAGCAGTCAAATGCCACCAGAGCACTTTGGGACCAAGACAGTGGAGGTCAAAGAGAGTAACTCTGGGGGAGGGAGAGGGCTTGGAGACAGGGAAGATAGGGAGGGCATCCGCAGGGATGAAGGTGTAGGAGGGAGTGGGCTTCTCGAGGTAGATCCCCAGAGGTAGAGAGGTTTTAAATGGGAGGAGAAACAGGGAAGGGGTGTATGAGGGAATTTGGGGGTCAGTTGCTGAACTGGCCACCCCCCAGCTCAGTAGGCCTCTCTCTAGCTCCCTTCCCATGTGCCCCAGAGATTCCCCAGCTCCGGCCCCTAGAATACGTTGCCTGTGTGCCCTCCTCCCACACCCCTGCCCTTCCTGCCTGGGCCCCCTGCCCTGCCAGGAAGTGGTTTTCCCTGGCTCAGCAGAAGGGCTTCTGGGAAGGAGAATGTAAGATCCTGTTCCTGTCCAGCTTGTTGTTTGGGGGAGGCCGGGATCTAGTGGGTGCTGAATATGCCGTAGGAAAGAGAGTAAAGTCCAGTTCAAGGGTGGAGTCCCCCACAAGTCCAGGTAAAGGGGTTCAGAACAAAGCCTTTGGGTTCCCAGCTCTGCTTTCTGGCTGAGACTTCCTTTCCCTGAGCTTCAGTTTCCTCATCTGTAAAATGGGTATAAGTATGTTTGTGTCACACAAAAGCAGGCTTCCTAGTGGGTGTGCTTGGGCCATAGTATTCTCAAAGTCAAATAACAATGAATTATTCTGCCAAAAAGAGCTAGTACTTACCTGATATTCAGTATATGCTGGTCACTGTCCTCAGCTGATGTTTATTAATGCAAGCAGCAGACCTATGAGGATAATATTCTCATTATGTCCATTGCAGAAGGGGAAACAGGCCCAGAGAGGTTAAGTGCCTGGCCTGTGGACACACAGCCAGTAGTTGGCAGTGCCAGGACCCATTCTGGCTCCAGTCTGGGCTCTTAGCCACTCGGTCAGGTGCCTGTCAGTAACCATATCTAACTTTACTCAGTGCTCTGGAGTAACAGGCATGATGTGGGCACATTTGGCAGGAACTGGGTAGATTTACACAGCAGACCTGTGAGAGTTGGCCGGCTTTTCAGAACCATAGTCGATGTCCTGGTCGTAACTGATGCCATTTGTCACAGCTGACAATGCTTCCTCAGCATCAGGTGCCCCAGAGAACTGCTCTCATACTGCTTGTTCCTCGCTTCTCTCTTCTGAGGACAGTACTGTTACTGTCCCTGTTTATAGGTGGATAAACTGAGGCACTCAGCAGTTACAAGCCAGACCCAAAGCCGCTGCCTTCCAGTCAATTCTGACCCATCACGACCCTGTAGGACGGAGTAGAACAGTAGACAGAATTGACCTGCGATGTTTCCAAGGCTGTCATCTTTGCAAACCAGACTGCCACATCTTTCTCCTGCAGAGTGGCTGGCAGGCTTGAACCGCCAACCTTTCAGTTAGTGGCTGAGTGCTTCACCACTGTGCCACCAGGGTTCCTTAAGTTACTTAAAAAGCAGCAGCATTTTGGAAAATGGTTTGTCAGTTTCTGGACAAGTGAAGTGTCAAATTAGCATGTTGTCACATGCCATTGCATGGATTCTGACACACAGGAACTCCACACAGCAGAATGGAACTACCCCCTTGGTTTCCTAGGCTGTGGGTTTTATCGGGGCAGGTCACCAGGTCTTCTCACCTCTCTTAGGTTTATACCAGAGAAGCTCTGGTGGTGCAGTGGGTAAGGCATTTGGCTGCTAACCAGAAGGTTGGCAGTTCTAAACCCACCAGCCACTTGCAGGAGGAAGATGAGACAATCTACTTCTGTAAAGATTTACAGCCTTGGAAACCCCCCCAGGAGGCGTTGCTGTGAGTCAATCAACTTGATGGCAGTGGGTTTGGGGTTTTTTTTAGTTTAGGAGTATACCAAGGAGCCCTGGTGGTGCAATGGATAAAGAACTCGGCTGCTATCCAAAAGGTCAGCAGTTTGAGCCCATCAGCCTCTCCGTGGGAGAAGGAGGAAGTCAGTCAGCTTCAGTAAAACTTGACAGCCTTGGAGATCCTGTGGTGCAGTTCCACTCTGTCCTCTAGGGGCGCTATGAGTTAGAATCGACTCCAGGGCAGTGGGTTTGGTTTGGGCTTTGCTTCCCTGAAGATTGACAGCCTTGGAAACCCTGTGGGGCAGTTCCACTCTGTCCTCTAGGGGCGCTGTGAGTTGGAATCAATTTGATTAGGCTTAGCTTGGTTTGGCATATTTAGACCATGGAATTTTATTCCACAATAAAAAGAAATGAAGTGTAACACGTTACAAATGAGATAACTGGGAAATGTCATGTTGAGTGAAAGAAGCCAGATAAAAAAGGCCACACAGTGTATGATTCCATTGATAGGAAACGTACGTTTTATAGAAAGGCAAACATAGAGACAGATAGGAGATTAGTGCTTGCCAGGGGCTTGGAGACAGAGAGAACGAGGGTGACTGCAAATGGGTAGGATTTCTTTCTGGGGTAATGGAGTGAGATACGGTGCTCTTGGCACAACTGTGAATGTAGTAAAAACCATTGACTCATATGCACTTTAACGGGGTGAGTTTTTGTCTGTGTGAATTACATATCAATAAAACAAGGTAGTCAAGAAAAGGAGGAAAAATGGCCAAGCTAGGACTCTAACCAAAGGAGTCGGAAACACAAGCATTTAATGTGAGCGCCTGCTGCGGGCCAGCTCTGGTGGCGCAGTGTCTAAGGCGTTTGACTACTAAGCAGACGATTGGCGGTTCAAACCCACCAGCCACTCCGCAGAAGGAAGACTTGGCAATCGACTTCCGTAAAGATTTACCGCCTGGGAAATGCAATGGGGGTCTCTCTGAGTTGCAATCGATTCGATGGCAGTGGGCTTGGTTTGGTTTGGTTTGTCGTGTGCCAGACCCCAAACTAAGTTTATAAGCTTATTCAGCCTTCAAAACAACTGGCCAGGTAGGTCTTAGAGAACTTGTTTTGCAGGTGAGGAAACTGAGACTTAGAGACAAAAATCAAATCTGTCATTCAAGGTCATGCAGAGATGGGGGTAGGGTGGGCTGGAGCCTGGGACTCGGGGGCTGAGGGGATCCTAGAATCTGATGGAATGGAATTCACTGGGGTGTTGGGGCACCTGGGACGGGGCGGGGTTGGGGGAATGAGGCCAGGGTGGCCTGGTTGCGCTCCAGGGAGCCTGGAGAGTTTGGGAAGGCTGGCCGCTGGGTGCCTTGGGCCCTATCGGCCCTGCACGGATGGGTGGAGCGGTGGGCACCGCCCAGCCCTGTTCACCCTCCCTGCCCTCCCAGCCTTCCTGCCACACGCCCGCCCCTCTCACTTCCTCCTCCTCTTCCCGCTGCCCCCAGATCCGCTTCATCCTCATACAGAACCGGGCGGGCAAGACCCGCCTGGCCAAGTGGTACATGCAGTTTGACGATGACGAGAAGCAGAAGTTGATCGAGGAAGTGCACGCCGTGGTCACCGTCCGCGATGCCAAGCACACCAACTTTGTGGAGGTGACACACTCCCCCCCTGCCCTTCCAAAGCAGTCTCAGCCTTCCACCCCCAGAAGCCCTCAGACACCTCTTCCCTGTTTCTCCTCCCGGTTCCAGTCTCTCCACCTCCAGGGATCCACCCTGCAAAGTGCCCCCCTTCTGTGTCCTCCTCCCTCCCACACTCCCCCCTTCCTTTGTTCCCCTTCCTTCCCTGTCTCCTGCCCAACCCCGATCATGGGAGCCCCAGACCCTCCCTCCGACCTATAGCCATTCACACAACCATTTTTCCGTTTGTAAACCTTTCTTCTTTCTTTCACATTCAATGTAAAAGGTTTCAAGCGTCCAGATGAGTACAGTGAGAGAAAGGCAGATCCAAGATGTGTATACCTGCCTTCCCCTTCCCACATGCAACCAATATGAATATTACCCAGGAGTCCCTGGGGGCTCACACAGTTAGGTCCTAGGCTGCTAACCAAAAGGTTGGCGGGTCAGGTCCACCCAGAGCTGCCTCGGAAGAAAGGTCTGGTGATCTACCTCTAAAAACTCAGCCCCAAAACCTAAGGGAGCACAGTTCTCTCCTGACAGGCGCCGGGGAGCCATGAGTGGGAATCACCTCCGTGGCAACTGGTTTGGGGTTTATATATGTATATTACCCAGATTTAATCAAAGGCACGCTGGTGGTGCAGTGCCTAAGGCATTTGACTGCTAACCAGGGGGCTGGCGGTTCAAACCCACCAGACGCTCTGTGGAAGGAAGATGGGGCAATCTAGTTCTACAAAGATTTACTGCCTTGGAAACCCAATGGGAGTCGCTATGAGTTGGAATCAGCTTGATGGCAGTGGGTTTGGTTTTGGGTTTGGATTTAATCAGCACTAACATTTTGCCTTTTTGTGCAGTTTTGGTCTGCTTGTTTGTGTGTTTTGCTCTAGGTGCCTGGGCTACAGCCTTAAACATAGCAGCCACAAGTCCTTGCCCCAGGAGACTGAGGCTCCAGTTTGTTGGAGTCAGCTAGTAAAGCATATACCCTATCAGGTGGTGGTAGATGCTCCGGGGAGTGGCATAATGGTTAGAGTGCTCAGCTGCCAACCCAAAGGTCTGGTGTTCGAACCCACCAGCCACTCCACAGGAGAAAAATAGATAGTCAGCTTCCATAAGGATTACAGCCTTGGAAATCCTGTGGTGCAGTTCCACTCTGTCCTCTAGGGGCGCTGTGAGTTGGAATCGACTCCACAGCAGTGGGTTTGGTTTGGGCTTTGCTTCTGTGAAGATTGACAGCCTTGGAAACCCTGTGGGGCAGTTCCACTCTGTCCTCTAGGGGCGCTGTTAGAATGGACTCCACGGCAGTGGGTGTGGTTTGGGCTTTGCTTCTGTAAAGATTGACAGCCTAGGAAGCCCGATGGTGCAGTTCCACTCTGTCCTCTAGGGGCGCTGTGAGTCAGAATAGACTCCATGGCACACAATAAGACAGACTCTTATTACCAAGGAGCCTGAGTGGCATAAGTGATCGGCTGCTAGTCCGGAGGTTGGTGGTTCAGACTTACCAGGTTGATGAGGAGTGAGTGTGGATGACAGATCTGAAGAATATATAATTTATTTTTATTGTGGGTGAAATTATACACAGCAAAACCCACTCCCATTCCCCGATTTCTGGATACACTGATCAGTGACGTTGGTTACACTCCTCACGTTGTGTCAGCATTCTTGTTTCTGTTCTTGTCTCCCATTGATTTAGACTCCCTGCCCTCCGACCTTCTCATCTGTACTTGAGAATAGCTGTTTCCAGGTAGGCTCATTCGGGCCTCTCTGTCTCTCACCCCCCACCTCCAGTCCTTTGACCCACCGTAGACATGCTGGCCCTCTTGCTATGTCCTGGCTGTGTTCCCACGCTGGGTGTGTTCCCGCCCGAGGGCCTTTGCACATGTTCAGATTTAGTTGCAGCCTAGTGGCTTTTTTAAAAAGGATAGAACTCAGAGGTGACCATCTTTACTTTTGAGCTAAACTGCTACTTAGTGCTTAAGGCACTTGACTGCTAACCAGAGGGCTGGCGGTTCAAATCCACCAGCCACTCCTCAGGATGAAGACTGGGCAGCCTACTTCCGCAGTGATACTGCCTCGGAATCCCAAAGAGGGGTCACCGTGAGTCAGATCTGACTCGATGGGAGTGAGTTTGGTTTTTTGGTTTTGGTTACTTGGTTTAAAGGTGACTTCAGGGGATAGTTTGGATTCAGAGTTTGGATTCAGGGCCACAGTCTCGGGGCTCCCCCAGCCTCAGCAGGGGCATGTCTGGATTCTTTAGGAATTTGCAGGTCTTTCCCACGTTCTCTCCTTGCCTATCGCCGTCCGTATGTCGGGTCCCTGATGGAGGACAGATTTACCCAACCTGGTCAGGGAAGGCCTCACTGAAAAGGGGACATTTGCGCCCACACCAGGACCAAGACATGAAGGAGTTGAGCCCAAAGGTCAACCGGTGCCACGGCCTTGAGGCGGGAGCACCCCTTGGGGATCCAGGAATAGCCAGGAGGCCGGCTGTATTGGGGGGTCCGAAGACATAACAGAAGCCGATCATATGGGGCCTTGTGGGCCACGGTGAGGACTTGGGCCTTCACTGTGAACGGGGTGGGAGAGTTTTGAGCTGGTGGCAAGAGCCCAAGTCGGGGGAGCACTCGAGGCAACCGCGGTGGCGCAGGTGACAGGCAGGTGACGGCACCTGGGGTGGAAGCAGTGGGAGTGGTGAGAAGTGTTTGGGAAGGTGGTGGTCTCGGATGCCGTCGAGTTGGTTCTTACTCGTAGCGACGTGACAGTGTTGAACTGCCCCAGGGGGTTTCTAGGGCGCCATCTGACGGGGGCGGGTGGCCAGGTCCTTTTCCTGTGGAGCTGTCGGTGGATTTGAACCGCTAACCTTTCAGTTAGCTGCTAAGTGACTGCTGTATCATCAGGGCTGCAACTAAATCACAAGTGCCAAGGCCCTGGAGCTGGAGCACACCCAGGGCTCGAACACAGCAGGGCGCCGGGGGGCAGCAAGAGGCCAGCAGTGGGAGGTGGGTCCAAGGACTGGAGGCCAGCGTGAGAGAGAAGAGCCAGGCTTGGGCCTCCAGCAACCAGTGGGATGGAGCTGGGGGGGCTTGGTGAGGCAGGAATGAAAATCCCTGCATGCAGGCGATTCTGACTCATGATTCTGACTCACGGTGCCCCTAGAGGATGGAGTAAAACTGCCCCGCAGGGTTTCTAAGGCTGTAATCTTTATGGAAGGAGCTCTGGTGACCTAATGCCTAAGGCATTTGACTGCTAACCAGAAGGCTGGCAGTTCAAACCCACCAGCCACTCCTCAGAAGGAAGGTTGGGCAATCTACTTCCGTAGTGATACTGCCTCGGAAACCCAAGGAGGGGTCGCTATGAGTCAGGACTGACTCGATGGCACATAACAACAACAACAATCTTTATGGAAGCCACTGCCACGTCTTTTCTCCTGCAGAGCAGCTGGTGGGTTCAAACCACCGACCTTTCAGTTTAGCAGCTGAGCACTGTAACAGCTTTAACAACTATGCCACAGGGGAAGGTCAAGGAAAGAGGAGAGGGGAGCACTGTCAGGCCCCACAGAAGTCCTGCCAGCTCCAAGGGTCATCCCTAATGTGTCTCCAGATGAAACTCGGCCTCCCGTCTTGAACCCCGTGACCAGAGTTGTCTTCAAAATGTCTGATTGCCTATCTGGTGTGGGTTTTGCTTTCATTGTTGATTTGTGACTTAGGAGAGCCCATGTTTGTGGAGTAGCACTGCTCCATAGGGGTTCTGTGGCTGTCAGCTTTATGGAAGGAACCCTGGTGGTGCAGTAGTTAAGTGCTCAGCTGCTAACCGAAAGGTCAGCAGTTGGGACCCACCTGCTGCACGTTGGGAGAAAGATGTGGCCATCTACTTTCGTAATAATCCCAAACCCACTACCATCAAGTGGATTCCGACTCACAGCGCCCCTAGAGGACAGAGTGGAACTGCACCACAGGGTTTCCAAGGCTGTTAATATTTATAGAAGCAAAGTTCAAACCAAACCCACTGCCCTGGAGTCTATTCTGACTCACAACGCCCCTAGAGGACAGAGTGGAACTACACCAGGTTTCCAAGCCTGTAAATCCTTATGGAACCTGACTGCCTCATACTTCTCCTGCCAAGCAGCTGGTGGGTTCAAAGTGCTGACCTTTCAGTTTAGCAGCTGAGCACTTTAACCACTGTGCCACCAGGACGTGCTCCATAAGCATCACAGCCTTGGAAACCCTCCAGGGCGGTTCTCCTCTGTCCCACAGGGTCACTGGGAGCTGGAACCGACTCGGCAGGGGTTCGACTTTCATAGCAGCAGGTCACCAGGCTTTTCCTCTGCCGTGCTGCGGGGCGGAGCGGACCCCACCCTCTGGGTCAGCACCTGAGTGCACACCGTTCCCACCACTCGGGGACCTCCGATTCCACGTCTGAGTCGGTTTTTCAAAAGCTGTCGCACGCACCTGATCCATGCTTACTCATCTGTGGACTACGTGCAGCCAGTTACTGTAAGAATTTTTTAGAGCAATGTTCCAAGGGCAGAAAGAATGAACTGATGAAGAAAAAAAATCCAAGGACTGATTAACTGCTGGCTCCAAGAAGCCCCGGTGGCACCATGGTTAAGCGCTGTGCCGCCAACTACCCAGAAGGTTGGCGGTTTGAACCCACCCAGTGGCTCCACGGGGGCAGAGCTGGCCGTCTGCTTTGTGTGAAGGTTGCTGTCGCATGCCACGGCCTGGAAAAGCCCATGCGGCAGCTCCGCTCTGTCCCACGGGGTCGCCACGAGTCCAAGATCGGCGTGAGGACACAGCAGTGTAGTTTTACCGCTGCCACCAGGGGGTCACACACATGCAGGCCGCCCAGTCCCTGTGGATGCTGACTCCTGATGACTGCACGTGTGTCATAGTGGAACTGTGCTCCACAGTGTTTGCCATGGCTGATTGTTCAGGAATAGATAGCCAGGGCTTGCTTTGGAAGCACCTCTGGGTTTTCTCAAACCTCCAAGTTAGTAGTCAGATGTGAGAAACTCTTTCCACCTCACAGGCCTAGAACAGGACTTTTCAGATTTTGGCCAAAGACGACACTGTGCTTTGCAACTATATTTATCTCATCTGTATGTCTGTATTTCTCTGTCTCTCTGCCTTACACACATAAAATTAGAGTCCGTGTCCCTGGTCCCTGCATTTATTCCGAAGTTAGGTGTCTAGGTGCCCGTAGTCACATTTATAGATACTCCGGTTTAGTGAGGGCCAGTCCTGGGCTGTCCTGCTTACAGTGGTGACCCCTGCACTGCCCAGCACAGGGCCTGGTGTGCAGGAGATGCCCAGGAAGTGTTTGTGGAATGAGCGAATGGGGGAACTCTATCCTCTAGAGGCAGCAGGGAACCCCGGAAGGGAGTGACAGGGTCACTTAGATGCTAGTGAAGATGCCAGGCTCCCTGGGCTGTCACACAAGCTGATGCCTCTGCCTAGGGCCGCCTTCTTGTCCTCCAGAGCTCGATTCAGATGCCCCTTCCTCCAGGAAGCCCTCCCTGACCCTCTCGGGGTCTCCCCATCCCAGCCGTACCAGCTCTGGAGATGGGTGTGTCTTCTCCATTGCACTGGAGCCCCGGGAGGGGAAAGCCAGCGTCTTGGTCCCTGCTGTGTCCCCAGCACAGGGCCAGTCACAGAGCTGGGCCCCAGGGACCCCACTGGGCCTGTCCTGCCAGGTGCTGCGTGTTCTCTGACGCTGATACTGTCTCCGGTCCACAGTTCCGGAACTTCAAGATCATCTACCGACGCTACGCCGGCCTGTACTTCTGCATCTGTGTGGACGTCAATGACAACAACCTGGCCTACCTGGAGGCCATCCACAACTTCGTGGAGGTGGGCAGGGCGGGGTGGGGCAGGCTGGAGGCCATCCACACACTTTGAAGAGGTGGGCGGGGTGGGGCGGGGGCGGGCTCAGACTCTGCTCACCCATCACCCTCTCTGGTGGGCTGTCCTCTCTGCACCCGCTCCCTGTTGCTTTATGTCCCTGTTTCTCCTTGTATGTTACCATCTGCTGCAGAGATTGATAGGCCCTTATGCCGTTATGCTGGTCTCTGCCCCTGTCTTTCTCTGTCCATCTGCCCGTCTCCCCAGTTGTCTGCTTCCCTGTCCATTTGTCTGTCCAGCCGTCTCTCCCCCGCCTCAGTCTGTGTATTATCTCTTTCCCTGCCCGTGTGTCTGTCTGCTTTGCCATCTTGTTCTGTTCCCTTCCAATGATCTTTGCTTTTCTCTTTCCCTATCTGATTGAGGCCAAAGACTATATTTTGCAACTACGTTTATCTCTCTAGTCTACGCATATTTGTATTTATCTCTGTGTCACCATAAGGAGCTCTGGTGGTGCAGTGGTAAAAGCATTCAGCTGGCTAACCAAAACGTCGGCGGTTCAAACCCCTGAGCCACTCTTCAGGACAAGGAGGAAGCAGTCCACTTCGTAAGGATTGGAGACCCTGTGGTGCAGTTCCACTCTGTCCTCTAGGGGCGCTGTGAGCCTGAATCAACACGGCAGTGGGTTTGCTCTTTGGTTTTGGTTCTCACCTTACACCCATAGAGAGTCCATGTCCCTAATCCCTGCGTGTCGGTTCCTGAGTTGCGTGTGTGTGTGACCAGAGTCCTGTTGATAGACACTTACTCTAACCTTGTGCTGTGTTTCTGGTGAGGGTTTACTCAGCAGTGTCGGTTCCCGTTCAACAGTTTCTGCACAACTTGTTGAGTGACACTGGTCACGTTCTTCACAGCGTGTGCACCCGTTGCTTTAAAAAATTTTTTTTTTTTTTAGATTGTGGTTTGGCTGAGAATGTACGGAGCAAATTGATTTTCCATTCAACAATTCACACATTGTGTTTTGTGACATTGATTGTGGTCCCCACGTCTCTGTGCTTGTCTGTTGCTGATGTTTCCTTTACATGATGACACACATGTGACCTTTCATGTCTGACTCGTCTCTCTTAGCATCATGTTTTTAACATTCATCCACGTTGTAGCAAGTATCAGTATGTCATTCCTTGTTCATGGCTGAATAATATTCCATGGTATGGATGAGCCACCTTCTGTTGATCCATTCCTCTGTTGATGGGCACTTGGGTTGTTTCACCCTCTAACTGTTGTGAATGGTGCTGCAGTGACCACTGGTTTCAGTTTGTGCTTTCAGGTCTTTTCAGCACATTTTACTTCTGTGTGATATTAATGACATTGTGTGATAATTTCCACATTCTGTGGGATCACCTTTCTTTGGAATGGGTACAAACATGGATGTCTTCCAGTCAGTTGGCCAGGTAGCTGTCGTCCAAATTTCTTGGCATAGCTCAGTGAGTGCCTCCAGTGAGGCATCCATTTGTTGAAACATCTCAGTGGGTATTCGGTCAATTCTTGGAGCTTTGTTTTTCACCGATTCCTTCAGTGCAGCTTTGCCTTTTCCTTCAGTACCCTTGGTTCTTGATCATATGCCACCTTCTGAAATAGATAAACATCAACCAACTCCTTTTTGTGTAGTGACTCTTTGTAGTCCTTCCTGCTTCCTGCTTCATTCAATATTTTGCTTATAGAATGCTTCAGTATTACAACTTGAGGTTTGAATTTTTTCCTCAGTTCTTTCAGCCTGAGAAATGCTGAGTGTGTTCTTCCCTTCTGGTTTTCTAACTCTAAGTCTTGGCACATTGCATTATAGTAATTGGTCTTGTCTTCTCGAGCTGCTCTTTGAAATCTTCTGTTCAGCTCTTTTATCTTGCCATTTCTTCCGTCTGCTTTAACTACTCTCCATTCAAGAGCAAGTTTCAGAGTCTCTTCTGACATCCATTTTGGTCTTTTCTTTCTTTCCTGTCTTTTTAATGACCTTTTACTTTCTTCATGGATGATATTCTTGTCATCCCAGAATTCATCTGGTTTCATTCATTGGTGTTCAGTGTGTCAAATCTATCCTTCCGATGGTCTTTAAATTCAAGTGGGATATACTCGAGGTCATGTTTTGGCTCTCGTGGACTTGTGTTAACTGTCTTCAGCTTCAACTTGAACTTGCATATGAGCAGTTCATGGTCTGTTCCACAGTCAGTTGTTGGCCTTGTTTTGGCTGAAGATACTGAGCTTCTCCATTGCCTCTTTGCACAGATGTAGTCAGTCTAATTCCTGGGAACTCCACCCGGCGAGGTCCACGTGTATAGCTGCTGTTTATGTTGTTGAAAAAAGGTATTGCAGTGAATAATTGTTGGTCTTGCAAAATTCTATCACGCGATCTCCAGCACCATCTCTATCACCAAGGCCATATTTCCCAACTACAGGTGATTCTTCTTTGTTTCCAACTCTTGCATTCCAGGCACCAGTAATCAACAAATCTTGATTGCATGTTCGGTCAATTTCAGACTGCAGAAGTTGGTAAAAATCTCCAATTTCCTCATCTTTGGCTTTAGTGGTTAGCATGTAAAGTTGAGTAATAGTAATATTAACTGGTCTTCCTCGTAGGCGTAGGGATATTATCCCATCACTGACAGTGTTGTACTGCAGGATAGATCTTGAAGCATTCATAGGGTGGTTCTATGTTTAAGTTTTTGAGGAACCGTCAAACCATTTTCCACATTCCCACCAGCAGTGGATGAGGTTTCCAATTTTCCCATGTCCTTGTCAACACTTGTTGTTCTCCATTTTTCTGATCCTAGTCATCCTAGATACTGCATGGTTTAAAATCAGGAAGGGAGTGTGTCAGGGCTGTATCCTTTCACCATACTTATTCAGTCTGTATGCTGAGCAGGAGCTCTGGTGGTATAGTGCCTAAGGCACTTGACTACTAACCAGGAGGCTGGCGGTTCAAACCCACCAGCCACTCCTTGGAAGAAAGGTTGGCCAATCGACTTCCATAGGATCCAACTCAGAAACCCAAGGAGGGGTCACTATGAGTCAGACCCGACTCGACGGTATGAGGTTTTTTTTTTTTTTGTATGTTGAGCAAATAATATGAGAAGCTGGAGATATGAAGAAGAATGTGGTATCAAGATTGGAGGAAGATTTATTAACAACCTGTGATACGCTGATGACACAACTTTGCCTGCTGAAACTGAGGATTACTTGAAGCACTTACTGATGAAGATTGAAGATTACAGCCTGTAGTATGGATTACACCTCAATATGATGAAAACAAAAATCTTCACAAATGGACCAATAAGCAGCATCACGATAAACGGAGAAAAGATTGAAGTTGTCAAAGACTTCATATTACTTGGTTCTACAATCAATGCCAATGGAAGCAGCAGTCAAGACATCAGATGACATATTGCATTGGGAAAATCTGCTGCAAAAGATGTCTTTCAAGTGGTGATGAGCAAAGATGTCTCCTTGAAGCCTAAGGCGTGCCCAACCCAAGCCCCAGTGTTTTCAGTCACCTCATGTGCATGTGAGAGCTGGACAAGGAACAAGGAAGACTGAAGAAGAGTTGATGCGTTTGAGTTGTGGTGCTGGCGAAGAATGCTGAAAGGACCGTGGACTGCTAAAAGTACTAACACATCTGTCCTGGAGGCAGTGCAGCCAGAATACTCCTTGGAAGCGAGAATGGCCAGACTTCGTCTCACCTACTTTGGTCATGTTGTCAGAAGGGACTGTTCCCTGGAGAAGGATGTCATGCTTGGTACAGTGGATGGTTAACAAAAAAGGGGAAGGCCCCCAACGAGATGGACTGACACAGTGGCTGCAATGATGGGCTCAGGTGTAGCAGGGATTGTGAGGCTGTCGCAGAAGCAAGCAGTGTTTCATTCTGTTGTACGCGGGGTCGCTGTGAGTTGGAGACAACGGCACCTAACACCACCCCCAGTCATGCTTGTGGGTGTGGAGTGGGATCCCGTTGTGGTTTTGTTTTCTGACTCCCTGACGACTAAGGATGTCGAGTATCTTTTCATGTGCTCATTGGTCGTTTGGGCATTTGTCTTCCTTGAGGAAAAGTTTATTCAGGTCTTCTGCTCATTTTCAGCATGGATGGTTGGCCTTGTTGTTGGGTCGTAGGAGTTCTTTCCATGTTAGAGACCCTTCTCAGACACAGCTGTGCCTGTCTTACTGCGCCTCACTTGCTTGCGGGTCACAGACACTGTGTATTTTTTACAGACTGAGGATTTGTGGCAGCCCTGCTTCAAGCAAGTCTGTCGGCACCACTTACTCAACAGTGTGTGCTCGCTGCGGGTCTCTGGGCCCCATTTTGGTCATTCGCACAGTCGCTCCCAGTTTCTCATCATGCCACTGCACACTTCATGGATGACAGTCTGGTGTGAACATAGCTTGCACACACGCTGGGAAACCAAGACCTGTGTGTGACTTGCTGGACTGTGCTTTCGGCTTTGCTGCGGGGGTCCGGAAGCGAGCCCACGATTCTGTGCGCGGGCTGCCTGTACGTGATTTGCAGACACCTCCTCCCGTCCTGCGGCCGTCTTTGCACTTTGACGGTAGTGCCCTCGACTCACGGAAGGGCCTCGTCTTGATGTTCTCCCTCCGCTTCGACATCTCCTGATACGCCTTGGCCCCGTCTCTCTCCCTGCCCGGCTCTTACCATCTTTGTCCTCCCCTCCCCAGGTCTTAAATGAGTATTTCCACAATGTCTGTGAGCTGGACCTGGTGTTCAACTTCTATAAGGTAGGCTCGTGGTGCGCGTGCAGGGGCCAGGGACCGGGTGGGGAGGAGGGCGGCCGCACCCCTCAGGCTCCCCAGCATCTCTGTGGGTGTCCGCTTCCTCGGTTCCCGACTTTGAGGTGTCAGAGCCCCAGGTCCCAGGGTTTGGACCCTCATCCCAGGAGGTCCCTTCCTGCGCCCCAGGGTCTCCCCCTTGACCTCCCTGTTCCCAGGTTTACACAGTTGTGGATGAGATGTTCCTGGCCGGCGAGATCCGTGAGACCAGCCAGACGAAGGTGCTGAAACAGCTGCTGATGCTGCAGTCCCTAGAGTGAGTGCGGCGGACGGGCCCTCCCAGACCTCGGACCACGGACCGCAGACCCCGGCGTCCCTGACCCGGCCTCCCTGGCCCTGCCTGCCCCCGTCCCTAGCCAGGCCTGGCACCTCTCCCGCCCCCACCTGCCCAGGACGAAGGGACCCAGCCGGGTCTGGGACACGGGAGGAAGCTGTCCCCCACTCCCCTTGGGGCCCCAGCCAGGGGGGGTGGAGGCCACCTCGCGTGTACTGAGTCACCATTCCGCTGTCATGTGATGCTGTGAGTGTGAGTGTGAGTGTGTATGTGTGTGTGTGGGGAGACCCCCTAATAAACACGTGGTCACTGCCTGGCCGGCTGTCTCTGAGCCTTCTGCCTGTCTTGCTGGGAGCCGCAGACGCTCGGGGGCCTTGCCATCAGTCAGTCAGTCAACAAACACACCCCTCCCCACTGAGCGACAAAGGGGACCCCAGCACACATCAGACCTGCTCCTTTCCACAAAGGCGCTCAGTCCGGAGGGGTGGCTGGTTTCACACCGCGCACCTGCTCCTAAAATAATAACAGTGGGACCGAAAACCAAACACCAGCCTGGTGCCTTGGAGTCAAGTCTGACTCCTGGCGCCCTCATGTGTCACAGAGCAGCACCGTTCGTAAGGTTTTCTGTCATCTTTACAGAAGTAGATCATCAGGACTTTCTTCCATGGTGCCTCGGGGTGGTTTCGTACCGCCAACCTTCAGGTTAGTGTCAAGAGCTTAACTGTTACATCACGCAGGGGCCTTCAGTAATGATACTGATGGGCACACCTAGTAGCCTAGTGTGTCCCCTGGCCCTGCCCGAGATGGCTGACACGTGTTAACCTTCCTTAACCCTCACACCAGGGCCGGGAGGCAGGACTTGCATCCTCATTTTACAGGGGCTCACTGAGCCCTGGCAGTCAAAGGGCTCGCCCAAGGCCACACATGTAAGTAAGTGGCTGAGGCAGGTCGTGGTCCCCAGACAGGTGGCTCCAGGAACATGGCGTGTAACCACCAGGCCCAGTGGCCATCAGAAGCACAGGTATTGCATGAGATGCTCACGTACATACGCACGTCTCAGGAACAGTGCTCTTGGCACTGGGAGGCAGGGCAGTTCTCCATGGTGTAGGACTGTTCACGCGTAGAGGACATGGCTCCAGCCACCAACTGCCACAAATGGCCCTCAGCCATCGTGAAAATAGAAAGCACCCCCAAGTGTTTCCGGTGCCGACAGAGTGTTGGTGCCCTCCCCGCGCCCTCCACCCCCCCCAAGTGGAATGGCCGCCAGCTGCACCTATGCCTGGGGCCTTGGCAAGCTCAACACACCACCAGGCCTGCCTGTCACCGCCAGCCCTGGTTAACGTTGCAGCCTCCCGACTGCAGGTGCATCCCAGCACATGGGTGCCACGTGACAGCCACGAAGCCTTTGGCTAAGTCCCTTCTCATGCCTCAGTTTCATCATCTGGAGAATGGGCTGGTAACAGTGTTTACCTCCCAGGGCGGGTTTGAGGATCGACTGAGCTAAGCTCTGGGAAAGTTCAGAAGGGCACCTGGCACTAGCAAGCACTCACTGGTCCAGCAAACATTAAGTGCCTGCTGTGTGCAGGGCCTGGTCAGCGATACCGGAGGTGGATATAGAAGTAGGCAGTGGACATCGGCTAGAATCATTGCCCCCAGGGAAACAGGCTCAGTGAGGCGAACTCCATACTGGATACACTTTATAGCTATAATCATTGTAACAGTGTCCAGGTGGTCCCGTACTCACACATATTCAAGTTAGGACAAGCCATACTCATGTCTGTTGTTTCTTTTTGGTACATTTTGTGGTTGATAGTAGATCCAGCATAAAGTGTTGCAGCTTGGGTGGTGTGGTGCCTAAGGCATTTGACTGCTAACCAGGAGGTTGGCAGATCAAACCCACCAGCTGTTCTGTGGAAGGAAGACTGGGCAATCTACTTCCATAAAGCTTTACTGCCTTGGAAACCAATGGGGGTCGCTTTGAGTCACAATCGATTCCATGGCAGTGGGTTTGTTGTTGGTTTTTTTTTGGTGGAGTGTAACATTCTCACGCCAACTCCCCCAAACAAAGATACCTTTATAAAGATAATGATTATAAAAGGCGAGAAGAATGGAAAGTTAAAAAAGTATTCAACTTACCATGGTCCAATTTACCGTGGAGTCAGTGGACCAGAATCCAGTTGGGAGGCTGTCTGTGTGAGGTTCAAACAACCGCAAACTTAGTGATTTAAAACACCACAAATGTATTAGCTTAACAATTATGAAGTCCAAGATGGGTTTCTCTGGGTTAAAATCAAGGTGTCCCCAGGGCTGCGTTATTTGGGAAACTTGAAGCTGTTCCCTTTCCCAGCTCCTAAGAGACCACCCACATCACGGCCGCTCCCAACATCTTCAAAGCCAGCAGCACAGGCCCTTCCAAACTCTGACTCTGGCCCACTTTCATTTACAAGGAAGTTTATCATTACATGGGGCCTACCCCAATAACTCAGGGCCCCCTCCCCATCCCAGATACCCTAATTCAGGCAGCCACAGGTCCTGGGAGGAAGAGGCGAACATCTTGGGGGCTGTTATTCTGTCCACCACACACAGCTGACACTCACACGGTGTTTACTTAAGACTTGGTTTTGTTAGCACCAAAGCCTCGCTCTAGGAAGGTTAACCCGGGAAGGGGTTTGTTGCAAGACCACAGCTCCGTGGAGTCTCCGCGGGTTGGGGCGGAGCAGGCGGCCAAGCTCGGGCCTGCAGTACCGCCACGGTGCACGAGGTGGCGCCGAGGAGCTGTGCTGCTTCGAGGACGCCACTGCCGCCCCGGTACCTCGGCCACGCCGCCGCTGCTAGACCTGCTGTTGCTCCAGCCACCGGGACCTTCCTGTGTCTGCGAGCACCCCGCCAGCTGGCTTCTGTCTGCTCTCTACAGCATGAGCTACTGCACCCACCCACCCAGTTCCCAGCGCATCAGCGGCAGAAGCAAACCTGACTCCATCCTAGAGCCTGGGGGTGTCGCTACAGCCTGGAAGAGCACGGAGCTGTGGTGCGAGGGGCTCAGGGTCAGAAGGTGGCGCTTCCTCCGGCGGAGGAAGGAGGTTCGATGCTGAGTGGATGAAAGGAAGGCCTCTAACCACGCCAGCAAGTCTCCTGCAGGGAGGAAGCCAGGGGACCCAGACTTCAGCCAGCCTGCTCTCAGCAGGGCTCTAGAGTATTATAGGAATTAGAAAAGCGAGGAGAAATGCCGGGCCCTGTGGGTGGGCTTTGTGGTGATATCTCAGGTAGCTCTCATAACACACCCAAGCGCCTCTCTCTCCCTCTCCCCCTCCCCTCCCCCTCTCCTTCTCCCTCTTTATTGAGATAAAATTCACATACTGTACCAATCTAGAAATTTTCCCTCCCCTCCTCTCCCTTCTCTGGTCACCAACAAAGTTTCCTTCCATATATAAACCTTTCCTTGACTTTTTACAATAGTGGACTAATACAATATTTCTCCTTCTGCAGCTGACTTATTTCACTCAGCATGATGTCCTCCAAGTTCATCCACTTTATGTGGTGTTTTGTAGATTGTATATTATTCTTCAGTGTTGCATAGTATTCCACTGTAAGTT